AAAAAGTTAATCTATGAGATGAGAGTAAATATTCACATACTACACAACCAATAAGAGTTAGTATTTGAGATGTAGCCCAAAAAAATCAATTTAACAATAAAGAAAAGATAAAGCAATTAATAAATGGACAGCAGATCTAAATGACCACCAAAGTGTCTTCAGGAGGCCAATAAACATGGAAAAATGTTCATCATAACTTTTGATAAAGGATATGTAGGTCAAATCCACATAGAGACATTGTCTTGCATCTGTAAGGATGACATATATAAAAGATCCCCCCTCCTCCTCCACAATTAAAAAAAATCAAAAATAACTGGAAATAGGATGTGAATGGCAGGGAAATGTCTTACTCCTTAACCCACAGAAAGAAACATATTTCCCATTCTGTCCCAGAGAGTAATAGCTGAACATCTCAGATTCTTATATGCACCAATGGTTAGACATTTTGTCATGGGTATGAAAAATCTGTAAATGCTACACATTTCCAGGTGATCTTCACTAGAGCATACTAAATAAAATAATAAACACTGCATTTTATTGGCAACTTAAGGCCTCTATAAAAGCCATTTACTTACAGCTATACTGCGCCAGCCCCAGTATTAGTGACAGGAATATTTTATCCCTGCCCTAAGTGGTCCAGAGATGACATGCAAAGTCATGTTTTGTTTTATGACAGTGGCTTTGCGGCTGTGAGTTGTACTGTGTGTTTTGTTTGTTTATTTCATCTCTTGGTAAGCAGAAACTCTGGCTATGTTACCAACCAGAAACTCATGGAATATAAATGATGAACCCTTCCTTTCAGGTCTGTCCCAGCAAACAAAGTAAATATGTCTGCTAAGAGATTTTTTTATTAAGAAGAATACCCAAAAAAAAAAATGAATGAATTTAATAGCTTCAAAATGCAGGTGGTGTAAAGGCTTCCTAAAATACCAAACCTCTGGGAAGAGTGTTGGTTGTAGCTAAAAGGCAATAAACAAACAAACAAAAAGGATCCTGTGGTAGAAGAAAGATTGAAAATATTACCTCAAGTTCCTTTCCAATGTTAATGTTCTATGAGGCTATTATAGCATTTCCACTCAGGGGTCCCAGTTGCATCCACAG